GTGGTTATAAATGCAGGGGCTCATATTTCATACAGTGACATCTCTGAAGAGCTGGAGGGACCGAGACAGCGTGATAATGAAAATATAAATAAAAGGAAATACTATATTCATGATAAAAGATAAGGGCAGAGGAGGAAGTGATAATTTCCTGTTCTGCCACTGAGGTTACTGTGGTTAATTTATAGGGCGTCAGGGAATAGAAGGTTGAAAAGAGCTGACTTAGGAGCAAGGGCTGAAAGGAAACAAATAAGGACCAAAAAATTCTTCATAGAGGTTGAGGACTATTGAGTTGGAAAAGATCAGTTTGCACAGAAGAGCAGTTTGTGTCCTCAGGTCTCTGGCTCCAGGTCCCCACTGCAGACTTCAGCCAGGAAGGGAGGAAGGATGAACTGGGAGGTTGCTGAAGAAAAACCTTTGAATATGGGATGACAACTGAAAAAAGTTGAAATGGGCTGAACACGGGGAGGGGATGTTTGATCTGTGAGGCCTATTAATCATAGAATCATGGAATCAGCTGGGTTGGAAGGGACCTCAGAGATCATCAAGTCCACTACTACTTGATCCACTACCGCTGCGGTTACTAGACCATGGCACTAAGTGCCACATCCAGTCTCTTTTTAAAAATCTCCAGAGATGGAGAATCCACCACTTCCCTGGGCAGCCCATTCCAATGTCTGACCACCCTCTCTGTAAAGAAATTCTTTCTAATATCTAACCTAAACTTCCCCTGGTACAACTTGAGACCATGCCCTCTTGTCTTGCTGATAGTTGCCTGGGAAAAGAGACCAACCCCCACCTGGCTACAACCTCCTGTCAGGTAGTTGTAGAGAGTGATGAGGTCTCCCCTGAGCCTCCTCTTCTCCAGGCTGAACAGCCCCAGCTCCCTCAGTCTCTCCTCATGGGACTTGTGCTTGAGTCCCTTCACCAGCCTAGTTGCTCTCCTCTGGACCTGCTCCAGCACCTCCATGTCCTTCCTGAACTCAGGGGCCCAGAACTGGATGCAGCACTCCAGGGGTGGCCTCACCAGCGCTGAGTACAGGGGAAGAATCACTTCCCTGCTCCTGCTGCCACACTGTTCCTGATACAGGCCAGGATCCATTGGCCTTCTTGGCCACCTGGGCACACTGCAGGCTCCTGTTCAGCTTCTTGTCAATCCACACTCCCAGCTCCCTTCCTGCCTGGTTGCTCTCCAGCCACTCTGTGCTCAGCCTGTGGCACTGCAGGGGGTTGTTGTGGCCAAAGTGCAGGACCCGGTACTTGGCCTGCTTGAACCTCATCCTGTTGGAATCAGCCCAACTCTCCAACCTATCCAGGTCCCTCTGCAGATCCCTCCTGCCTTCCAGCTGATCGACACTACCCCCCAGCTTAGTGTCATCTGCAAATTTGCTGATGATGAACTCAATCCCCTCATCTAAATCATCAATAAAGATATTAAACAGAGCTGGGCCCAACACCGATCCCTGGGGATATCACTCGTGACCGGCCGCCAATTGGATGCAGCACATTCCCCGCCACTCCCTGGGCCCGGCCCTCCAGCCAGTTCCTAACCCAGCACAGAGTGCCCCTGGCCAAGCCGTGGCTGCAGCTTTTCCAGGAGTGTGCTGTGGGAGACAGTGTCAAAGGCCTTGCTGAAGTCCAGGCAGACACATCCATAGCCTTCCCCTCATCCACCAGGTGGGTCACCTGGTCAGAAAAGGAGATCAGGTTGGTCAGACAGGACCTGCCCTTCCTAAACCCATGCTGGCTGTGAAGTTGTTACTCCTAAAATAAGTTGTATTATGAAGCATCATGGAAAATAGCTCTTTGTTGGCAAGTGATAGACAAAATGACCCAACATGTCTTTCTTGAATTTATTTTCTGTGGTGAGGCTTCAAGAAATGCCCAGGACTGCTCTGCTGCATTCGGGCATGTTCCACAGAAGGAACAGCTTTCTACCATTTTTAAGTTTTTTTACTGGAAAATGGTTGGTCTGGTGGTGTTTTGAATGCCCCCTTGGCCAGATCTAAATCTTCACAAGTTCTTTTGCTAAACTTTAAAATATTTCCCTTGGGAAAGGAAGTGGAAACAGATGAAAGGATTAACCCACAGGGAACCATCAGATCCTCTTTAGAGGCAGAGTTTAACACAGGTTCTGGAATAGGGAACAGAAGGAAAAAATAGAGTGTCCCTTTGAGAGGGATAAATTTTTCATAATTTTCTTTCTGCAGTTTATTATGAGAAAAGAGACGCATTTCTCAGCATAGAAAATTGAATAAAATCTACAAAAATAATATGGCTTATTTTGAACATAGAAATACGCGCCTTGTGGGACCCAAGCTCATTGCTGGAAAAGCCTATTCTTGCAGGACAAACTGAAGGAGAAGAGTTGCACTCCTTTGAAGTAATGATTCACTGAATGAAGTCAGTACAGGCAAAAGACAAATATCATTATTAAAATACAGTGTTTACCAAGTAATGTTTTATTCCAGAATATTTGGGGAAAAAATAATTCCAAGACCCTAATTTTGGGTCTTCTTGTATAAAGGGCATCAGGATAACTCTCAGTTTCAAGCTCTAGTTCTGCAGATTTTGTTTAAAACTATCGTGGAGCTAGAGAGCAAGTTTTCTTGAGTGAGACCTTTTTCTTTAATTACTTGCATTTTAGAATACTAACACTAATTCCAGTAAGTGTTTGGAAAACCTGGCTGAGAAAATATATGGCAAAAAAAATACCCATAAAAAATTAGTCATATCAAAATGTCCTTGCAAAAGAATGGGACTTTTCTCAGCTGGATCTTTCCTGCTTCTGTAGAAACCTATGCATTGTAGGTGCATAAATAAAAGCAAATATGAGAATATTCCAATAGACTGGTTTCCCTCATCAGCCTCACCAGATACGTGAGGCTCCATAGATATTTCTTTTTTATCTTCCTCTCTCTGTAAATTATAGGATATAAAGACTAGTCAGCTGGTATTTTACACTCATAGTTTACAGACTGAAGTTGGAAAGAACTTAAGGGAAAGTCAAGCAATAGGAAATGTCAGAGAGAAGCTGTGTGTGTTTAGCTGGTTAGAGAGCAGAGAAAGGCTCCACGCCTACCTTGCACAGAGGAAAAGCAAATGCCTACCAAGGTCCTGTGTAAACTGCTTATGGCATCGGGGGACTGTGGGTGCACAGGAGAGGAGTCAGGTTAGGTGCATGTTGTTAAGGGAAAGGTTTAGAGAACTTATGGTTAACCAGAGGTCACTAGAAAGGTATTTCCTGTGCAATGTACGGATTAGTCATGAGTTTCCCTAACATGGCTCCCTTTTAATTGGATTTCCTCTCCATTTTCCAGCCACTCATTTCTCTTGCCTCATTTTAAAGAATTTCTTCCCCACACTTTTCTCTCTTTACAGCTTCTGCATTCCTTCATTTTGTGGCATTAGTTCTCATGCAAAGAAAATGGATTTCCCCTCTTATTTTACATTAATAGTTCTTTTACCTGTAGCAGACAATGTTTTTCATCTCCTTTCTTCTAACAGGAGCTGTAATTTCTAGACTCTTCATTTTCCCTTTGTGTGGGAAAGGTGTGTCCTTCAGGCCTCTTTTGGCCACCTGCCATCATTCGGTCACTTTTTCTGCACCATAAATGGCTGTGATACTCTGCTCCTGTCCCTCGCTGTTACATCTCTTACCTTTATGCCCTTGCTGTGCAAGGGACCTTCAGCACAGTATTTAGGCATGTATTTTAGCTGCTCAAGCTCTACAAATGCTGACTGTGACAGTCCAGATACGGTGGATTAGGAGGATGGCTCAATTCACCAATATTTCAAACTGATTTCTGAATACTGGCACAGTGAACCAATGTTAATTAACCATTAGCACTCACTGTCCTGTGTCCTCCCTTAAAAACTTTCATATATATATATGTGCATGTGTGTGTGTGTGTGTGTGTGTGCAGAATTAATTAACTTATAAAAATACAGCTTTGGTCTGGTCTGTTCTTTCACTGAGCCAGTGTGCTCTGAATTCATGCCTTTCCTCTATTCAAAGTGACTCTATTTCCTTGCACATTTCTCATTAAATCCTTGTCTTACAGCATAAATTACTATATTATTCTTGAGCCAAATAACCTAAAACATTTTTACAAGGGATAAATTGTGCAGTTTTTGACAATAAGGAGTGTGCTAGCTTTTATGCCAAGCAACTTTTGGATGTAGATTCGATTTTCATGTCAGCTGAAACCTGGATCTGGTCCTCAAAGTTTAGAGAATCCCAAACTGATCAACACTAAGTATCTATGTATTTGGGCATTGCATACACTGCTGGGGAAATGGGCTTGACAGGAGAAAACATGCATCAAAAAAGAAGTGAGATTATGGTAATACAGCATGTGATAGGTCTCAAGTATTTTTCTTCCATGTGGAAGAAAACCCTCTTGAATAAAATGCACATAAGTGTTTTACATTTCTTATCTGGTTCTCTAAAAAGTCCATGCAAATGCAGGCTGGATTCATTCCAGATTCTGCAACTGTGGACATTACTTGAATTACTCTTAGGACTAAAGTGACTTTTGATGTCTCTGTAGCAAACTTTTTGATCAGAACACAGACGAGTTTCCCTCACTGATCACCCTCACTATAATGTCATTGTCTAATATGCTTAAGCATGTCTGCTCTCTCATGTATATTTGCACAGCTTTCTTTAAAGCTAGTGCTTTGAAAGTCCTATTCCTCCATGATGTTCCAATATTTAAGTATGAAATGTCTGGTGTTGCCTTTTCAAGCAATGTACCTGCTGCCTGCTCTTACCACCAGTTTTGGCTTTGTGTACAGGGAACTAACTGGCAGCCCAGTAAGAAATGTGAGCTATTGCTTTACTCCTATGGCTTTTATTTTGCTTTCAACAGTTACACAGATCAGTTCTGTTGATGGTTTCTTTTTCTTCTGTTGCTCTGCAAATCCAGCCTGTCCTATCCATCATGTTAATAGAGCAAAGGTAACAACCAAAATAAATATTTCCCTGTCTTTTCTTTCAGATAAAATTGAAGATGAATTAGAAATGACTACAGTGTGCCATAGACCCGAGGGACTCGAACAGCTTGAAGCACAAACCAATTTCACTAAAAGAGAACTTCAAGTGCTTTACAGAGGATTTAAAAATGTAAGAACACTACTGCAATGAACAGAGTCTAGTATGTATGTCCCCACTAGCCCCAACTGCTCAGATGTATTTTGTATTATCCCTTGCTAAACGTTAGCAGTTTTGTATTAGAACTCTCCAACACAACAAAATGAGTACAATCTGCCTCTCAATCTAATATTTATGACACCATAATCTGCCTAAAACTGGGTTTGGATGAATATTCAGCACATAATAGTCTCATTAAACTTGTTCCCCAAATGTCCACAAGCACTCTACAATTTCCTCAGCTGTGTCAGTACTTTAAGACAACCTGAAAATATTTTTATGGTTACTTATTTAATCCTTGTTGTCAGTACCTCGTGTTCAAATATAAGCAGTACTGTTCGCTTTAGCTGCCCAGCATGGGGATTTTATCTTTTATCTAGCTGGAGAATCTTGTTCTTGTAATAGGATGTTAGTAGAGTACTTTAAGGTCCTGAATAAGTAGGGTATAAGGACAGAATGGCAGGAGCCAAAGAGAAATCAAAAGTTAAATGTGTATTAAGACTGAGGAGACAAGGAGAGGCTGCAGATTTTGGTGAAAACAGGCAGCAGGCCAGCTGGCATGACTGTGTGCACAAACAGCTCCGTGCCCCTGTCTGTGAGCCACTGTTCCAGCCACACTCTCCCCGGGAGTAGGGAATCTGCAGCTCATGAGCCTCAGCTTCTGGGTCATCTGCTGCTGCCTCTCAGGGCCTCACCATAATAAGCAGAAATGGATGGGGAATGTTGAGGCTACATGGAGCAGATGTTTTATGGACCTTGAAGAATGAGTACTCATTATATGTTTGCCTGAGGGTCTGGATTTAGTCACCCAGGTGGTTTGTGTCAGCTGATGTTTTAATGATGATTAACAGGTCAGAATTGAGCTAGCTCAATGAACACAGAGTGTTTTTTAAGTTGTCTTGAAGGACAGCTCCAGCATTTCAGCGACCATCACAGTGAAATGCTGAAATGTCTTAAAAAATCAACTCTACTGGGTAAAAACCTGTCAAAAGAAAGCTGAGCTATATTAAATAAAGGCAGCTGTGAGGGAAACCTACTGGACTTTGAGAAGGGCCTTTCTTTTTGACAGATCCTTGAAATTTGCTTGAATTACAGTGTTGAATCACAGTGTATATTTGGCTTTTCGAGGAGTTTGGTGGTTTCATCCTTTATTTCCACTGCTCACCTAAGCAGGCCAAGGTGCAGCTCAGCTTTCTGTATGTTTGTTTGGTGTATGTTCTGTATTTGTGCCATCTTTGCTGCATGTAGGAGGTCATTTCATGTGTGAAGTTTTCTAACTGAAAACTGATACTCTGAAACCTCTTCATGCTTTCAGCAGCCACCAAGAAATCATATGGTTTTTGAGACAGAGCTTGACAGGTTAACATAGAGTGTGATATGACATGACTGCCTGCAGTGGGATATTAAACTCAGTTTTGCTAAGATCTCTGCAATGCCTTCTGTATTGCTGTTGGGTGGGAATCCTGTGTGGGAGAGCTCTGCTCTTTGCTGAAAGGAGGAGCTGGCTGTGCCAGCAGCTGCGATGCAAACCAGAAAGGCAAACCTGCAGCACTCTCAGCAGACGTGACACTTATCCCTTACCCTTCCTAATTTTGCTATCACTTTGCAGTACAGAGGCATTACCTCCCAAGGCCAGAATGACAGACATGTGACCTAAGTCTAGGACCTTGCTGAAGGTCTTGGTATTAATTGGCAAGGTCTTGGTTTAAATCTGGGTACTAGGAAAAAGCAGACTGTTTTTCTCCAGCTGCTATACACACAATATGCACAAAGTTTCATATCTAAGGTTTAATTTGAAGTGGAAATGCAGCTTTAACATTTGTAGCCTGTAAATAATGGTTTCAGTGGGATGAGTAATTTTGCACAGGAGACAGACTGGCTCAGCTGTTACTGTACAATTTGCTATTGTACCAAACCGTCTGCTCTTTGGGATGATGTTACAGTGCCATCTGGAGATTCAAAATCCTTGTGGGAATACAGTAATTTTCCTGTCTCCAGCTTGTACTTACTGCTTGTTCTCAGTGATTGCATAGGTCCTGTTTAGTCATAAGGCAACACCTGGATTATCACAGAGCCATTAGAGGCACTTGTATTGGACACAGAGGGACCGAGGTCCTGCTCAGCCTGGCTGCAGAGGATTTGGTGTGCAGGGACAAGGATGGTGTTCCACCAAAGGCAGCTCAGCACAGCCTGGAGTGGCCACTGGACTAGAGCCCTGGCTGACCAGGGTCCTAAATCTCAGTACTTTTATTCCTGTTCTTTCTTTGTCTCCAAAATCTGTTCCCCCACTCCCTTCAAACTTTCTCAGTCTTTTTCTAGTGTGTCACTGGTCCAGTCTGGTGTTTGTGTGCCAGACTGATGGAGGCTTCCGAGAAATTTGGCTCCTTTGCCACTCCAGAGAAGCAGAGCACGCTAACCTGTGTCCTTGGTGCCTGGCCAAATGTCCCCTCTCTCTTTGCCTTTAGCTTGCTCTTCCAGATGTGAAAGGGTGCCACCCTCCAACATCTCTTGGTTCCAGGACCAATATTGCACGCTTTTCTTCACAGTTGCCTCTGCTCCCAGAAAATGTTCTGCATTATGTGAATAGTCTCTTTTGCACCACGGAGTTGGCTGCTGTCTGACTGGAGCCAGATTAACATGAGATGTTTGGTCTGATTTCTTTGGCTGGGGTTCTGCAAAAGCAAGGTAACAGGCAGCAAAACCAGCAGAGCCTCTGGTGGGTCTTGCCTTTGTACAATTTAACAAGACAAAATGCAATATCTCCTGTCTACAAATATGTCAGGAGAAAGAATTGTTTGAGCTAAACAGCAGTGTTGGCACAGGAACAAAATGGCCATGAATTAGAAGTTACTACCCCCAGAGTAGTAAAGTTTGGGGAACAGTTATGGAATTGCAGGGAGGAGAGTGAGAAACTATTTTTATGATTAAAATTGATAAACTGATGACGAATGAAGTGACCAACAATAATACAGAGGTTTGAGCTTGGTAATTCAGTACCTCCCATTTAGATCATGTTTCTAATTACTTGTATTCTTTGGAATTGAGTACATAAATTTAAAAAGCCTGGTGTTTCTATGGGACTTTTTGCTCAGTTTAGGGGGAGCTGTGCTGTTAGGGGAAATGCCTGTTAGCTGCAAGGGATAATTTTCTAATACTAAAGCAGAAAACAGGCAACCCAAATAACTGAGGGGCTGCTGGAGACATCCTTACCTTGCTTTAGTGTATTTTAGCAAACCTGTACTGAAGTGTAGTATGAGATGTAATTGTCTGTAACAAAGCAGGTTTTTGAAAACTAAAGCGAGCAGTATGAGCAGGGAAGAAATGTTCTGATACTTTAATAATCCCTGAAACATCTCCAAACTAGGAGAACATAGAGCAACAAAATATGTGGGATGTGCAAATGCTTAGAGATGCAAATCTGGATTGTGAATTTGTCTATGGTCAGCTAACTTAAAACCTCTAGTTTAGCAAAATGTGACCCCTGAGTTCTCGTCCGCATGTTCTGGCCAAGCAACCCGAGAAGGGTCTGACGGGCAGGTTATGCTTTGGTCCCCTCTGGTCCCTGCATCTCTGCAGTGCACACTCTGAAAGCAACTGAGGAAGTTAATTTCTGATTCCAGCAGAAGAAAGAACAGCAAGTGCAACTTCTGGGGTTTTTTTCCTTTTGGTTTTGTTGATTGGTTTGTTTGTTTTTTATGTGGATTCAGCTCCTTTGCTGTTTAGTGGTTTAGAAGAAGCATGAGAGGGAAGGTTCAGATGCATAGCTTATGGTGCCAGAGATTGATAGTCAGCTCTCTGAAAATGAGCAGTTGGTTCTGCACTTGACAATAGTACAAAAATATGTTCACTGTTTGACATTTTTAAAGATTTTATAGGTTAAAGAAATGACAGGTGTTAACCTAAAACCCTGCTATCAAAGGAAGGCCTTACAAATACTATGCTTTTTCTTACTGACAAGAATTTTTTATTGAATGAGTGATCCTTTATTAACTTCAGTGGAATTTAAACTGACACTAAGTTTACCTGCTTCGTTTCACAAGAGAGATTTCTTTCGAGTCAGCAGAATTAAGTAGTACTGTAGCACTAATGAGGCCTCTTGAGCATTATTTGGCTCTTATAAAACAAAAATTGTGATCAATTAAGTGCAAATGAATTGGTACTAGCATATGTGTCTGCAAGCAATCCAGTTACAGAGAGCTAAATGGGCTGATCAATGTCAGCGCTGCCTTTCCCCAGCACTCCTGAAGCTTTGATGCAAACTTTCATTTGGCTTCCAGGTGGAGCATCAGAAGCAATAAGGATCATGTGGAAATTTAGAAAATTAAGCTGGCACAATGGCTAAAACTGCCAGAGTACCCCTTGCCCCAGCGAGGACAGCACAGGCAGCAGCAGCAGCAGCACCGTGCCCGTGGCAGCTCCCTCTGCTTGCCCAGGGCTGCTGGGCTGGGCTGGGGCCCTCGGGGGGCAGGGGGAAGGCACCCAAGGGACTCTGCAGCTATGGGAAGCATGGAGAAAATAATGATCAGTCCCTCATTTAAAAGCTCTCTTTAAGAATGTGGACTTATGGTTTTTAGTGAATATAATAGTTATATTATCAAGAGAAGAGAAAGAAATGTATCTTGGTGTGTCAGGCCAGTAGGACTGTGCTGGAAAGGATGGGTAAGTGCTGTGCTAGGCTTGGTTTTAAAAAGAATGACAATTTGGTGAAATACTCCGCAAGTGCCCTGTGTGGCCCTGGAGCAACAGCACTTCAGTGACCAAGGAGAACATTTCTACCCAAGAATGGCTGTGGATAAGGTACTTGGTCTGCTCTATGATTAAAAGATAACATAAATAAATATCAGATTATTTGTTTAGTGTACATCAAATTACAAGCTTCAAAAAATTGAACATTTATAAAACATTTAGGAGAATCTCTTATGGTAGTTGTTAGCTTCTATTGAATTACTCTTCCTTTTATGATTTCTACTTTATTAGAAGTGGCACAAACAGATGAAAAAGTAACCACTTGACAAGGAAAGCAGGCAATTGATGTTTTATGAGGAGTTTTGGAATGGTTTGAGGATACTCATCTAATCTTGCTATACAGAATTAGAAAGTCTTGTTAGTTTTGTCAGTAGATGAAAAGACATGGTCTGATCCTGCAGCCAGTGGCTTTAGGTAGTCTAATTAGTCTTTTTACCCCTGGTGTGGAACAAGCTTTGAACACTGATCCTGGAGAAGGGGTGGCCCTGGTGAGGTCAAGACCACAGTGTCAGATTTGGCTTTTAATTGGGACACTTAACTGGTAGAAGAGCAGTTGTCAGGATATGAAGACATAGACTAAAAGAGAATTTCAGGGACTTCCAAGCAACAAATTCTCTTTTATTTAGTTCAGATATCTCCCAAATCACTGATGATTTCCTACCTAAAGAGTGAGTGGAAGACAGCAAGACTTCTGCATTGGAGGAAGGAAGCCAGACCTAACCATCCTAATTTCAATAGCAAACAGCTTTGTGATTAAGGAACTGCCTCACTGTCACCTGAAGTAACCCCCCTTGCTCTCCTTCCTTGACTTGCACAAGATTAAGTGATTTCCTGTTGGTTCTGTCCTTTTCCATTGTTAGTGAATGCACATCAGCAGCAGGTGATGATGGCAGATCAGAGGCTTGGAAAAAATGCCTTTTTTCCTTTTATAGGCTTTTCATGGTGGAAGAATTTCTTGTCAAAGCCCTTTTTGTTCTTAAAAGGTATCTAAACAACTCATCAATAACTAAGTCATAGACTTGAATCTTCCTCCAGCTTCTCGAGTCACTAATTCAAAGGGATTTTCTTAGACTTCTGGATGTTTACTCATCTGAAATTCCACAACCTGTGATGCGGCCAGAATAAGGCTGTGCCTTGGCTCTGCAAGGCGGGGCGTGGCAGGCAGGGAGTGTGTGCCCCATGGAACCCCCTTTTCCCTTCCCAAATCCTGCTCCATGGGGCTGGTCAGGAATTTCAGTGCTGAAAACTGCCACTTTTTTCCTAAAGGTTTGCCCTTGTTTAAAGCAGTCAAAAGTGAAATTAAATGCCTTGCATTGCAGTACCAGAGCTTAAAAATAAATAAGCCCACAGGTCACCAGCTTAGAAAATTTGCATGGGCACAGTCTGGCTCCTCAGAACTTTACAGAAGATTGAGCAGATAAACAGGTTAAAAATGGTCTAATCTTTTTGGCTGTTATTAATGCTTGTTTGTACGGACTCACTAGTGTACTGCAAACTATTCACCTCCATGGAGCTGTTGTCAGGCATCCAGCCACAGTCTGCTGCTGAGGATTAATGAATTCATATCTGTGGAGGCATCAGGCAGGAAGGTGTTAGCTGGCATGAACATTATTTTTAATTATTAGATGAAAGCTTCATATAACAGAAGGCATGAGCTGCCTTTCTAGGTCATCCTATAAAACTGTGATGAAACACTGCTGAAAATGAAGTTAGAAATGTTAATAATGGTGAACCAAGTCTGTGAGATGCTTAAGATGAAACTGCAGTCTGAATTACTTCAATTTCTCCAGCTGCACAGCCTGAGCATGCAGAACTCTGTGAGAACAGCAAAGTGATTTGTTTAATTGCTCTCTTCAGGCCTATAGAGTTTTGCAAATGAACCTTTACAAAGCTGTGTTTTTTCTTGATTTGTTTTTGGTTGTTTGTTTGTTTTGTTTTCATTTTTGTTTGTTTGGTTGGTTGGTTGGTTTGTTTTTTTGTTTTCCAACAGGAATGTCCTAGTGGGGTTGTTAATGAAGAAACATTCAAACAGATCTATGCACAGTTTTTTCCTCATGGAGGTAAGCAGAGTGCTTTGTGCCTGTCAGGGTTATTGAAGCATGCCTTAACATTCCTTACTGCCAGCTGGCTGTAGAACTGCTGCACATCATCTGTGCAAGGAGTTGGAACCGAGCTTAAGCTTTGTGGGATTTTAGACAGAAACACAAACATCAAGGTGATAAGATTGTTAGGCCCTTTGAACAGTTATTTCACATGGACAAAACCCATTACAGATTGTCCCTAGTTTTCAGCTCTTTATTCCCCAGGTCCAAAATAGAAACTGGGGATTGATGCTTTTTTCTTTACTGACTTTCTGGCTGGCAGAAAGTGAAATTGCTTCCCCTCAGTGTGTCTTTGCTTCCCTGCTGTTGGACTGCTGGACATGTAGTGTCTAGCACAGGAGGGTCCCAGACCTCATTTTGGCCTGAAAATTAATCAAAACCTTTTTAAAATTCTTAAAGCAGTTCTTAGTTGATATGTGAACTCCTGGCTACATTAAATGATCATTTTTTGTGTTTGTGTTACTAGGACAGGGTCATGTCATGTATGGGAATATTAAAGTATTTTATTAAATCACTCAAATAATATATGTTATTGCCTTTTAAAAACATCAAGAATCTATGTGTTCTTCTAACTAGATATGTTCTGTAGGGATGCTGTTTTCAAACTGAAAGAAATGAGTCATCTTTTTTAGTAAAAATCTGTTTAGTAAAAATATTTTTAGCAACAGATTAAGTGTTTGAGGCTTTTCAAATCACTTCCACCCTGTAGTAGCTGCAGAATACACTCCCTGGGGAATGATAACTGATGTTTCTGCAAGACTGTATGTGTGCATGTCCTTTACTTTAAGAAGGTCATTAACAAGTGTTTTTTCAACTAAATGACAAGATAAACCATGTTATGCTTATGTGTTTTACAGTGCACAGGACCTCAAAGATGTACACCTATAAAAAGTTTGCATTAAATTTCAGTATAGACTTGATGATTTCCTGTTGTGATTGCTTTGTTTTGTTATAAAATGCAACCAGTCCATTGATTGATTGATTGAAAGAATTTAAGTATTTATAATCTCAGTGTATTTTTGGATTTGGGGTTTTTTCCAACTTAAGTTCCAGTAAGTCCAAGGAAAATCAGTTACCCAAACAACTCCTTTACTTGACCCAGCTCAGATATAAAAAACAGTCAGGCATAGAAACTTCATTTTATCATGGAATGATAACTTTTCTCCATTCTACTGAAGTTGTCAAAGACTTGTCTTTCCTTTTTCTGTGTGTCCCATTCCCTTGAAATGTGATTCTCCCTTAGTTAATGATGATGGAAGTACAACCATGCTTAATTGTAAATCAGTTCAACAGCAGATGGGATTTTGTATTTTGCACTGTTTTCTTTCACTTGGTTTCCAAACTATTTGTATAATATTAGTGTCATAAATTGTGAGATTTTGGAATCTTCAGAGATTCTTTCACTTTTATGGGACTCTTTACAGATAAACCTGTACAACCTAAAGGTGGTAATGTAGCTCTGAATTATAACAACATTGTCACCCCAGGGTTGTGATTTTTTTGTGTACATAGGGCTCATATCCTTGGCAGTTTTAATTTTTGCTAACCTGTCATCGAGTGATACTAGTGAACTAAGTATTTCTTAATGTACATCGTACCAAATTGAAATAAGACCTCTAGCTTAATATTTTTAGTTCATTGTTTAGTTTAGTTTAGTTTAGTTTAATAGGAGCTTTTAGTAGGACTATCCCATAAGTAATGCTGTGGTTTTCTTCTGGAGCTATTTTATTTCAGAATCCTTCTCTTAAAAATGTAGTACATTAATTTTTTTCCCCTAAACTCCGGTGTATTCTATCCTTATGAATGACAGTAACTTAAGTATTTGATTTTTCTGCACACTTACATTTTCCTGGATTTGAATAATGTCAGAGTAAGGAGATGCTGGGTCATTCCACCTGTGCACATAGCACAGGGCACCAGGCTTCACCTGAATACCCATACACTGGGTATGGAGACTCAGGTTTGACTGATGCTGTGTGCTAGAGACAAAGACTAGAAGAGACCAAAAGTGTGTGGCTGCTAGAGTAACAATGAAATAATCAAGGAACTTTAATGTCAGTTGCTTCTATCTTGAAAAGCTGGGCTCTGGTAATACAGAGAGCAGTGCAAATTGCCTCCAGAGCAGAGAACAGGCCACTGAAGGTCTTTAAGTTGTACAGTTGGATTTTTTTTGTATACCATCACTGTTATTCCTAGTCAACAGCCATTATTCACACAGCTATAGAGACTTTTCTTCTCGATAGAAAAGGTTTTCTAAAACCAGCAGTTTAAGATTCAAAAGGATGAAAATGTGCTTCAGATGAGATTGCTCTCTAGCAGTCAAGTTACTGGAGCAAGAGCCTTCTGAAGATGAGCAGTCCCTGGGGGTCTCTGCCATGTCTCAAACAAAACAAAATGGCAGAGGAAGGATGGACATGTGCTGCCGACAGTTTTTGGTATTTTTGCTGTGTTTCCCACCAGAGCTAATACTCCATTTGACTCAGAGACATTCTGGGATTGTTGGTTTTTTTCTGCTCGTTCTTTCAGGTAAAGCCTCATAATCCAAATAGTTTCTACTGTAACAAAAGCTTTTGCATTTCAAGGCTGTTTTAAGGGATGCTGTCAGGATTTTGCAAGTCCATGTTATCATTTACTGGTTCACAGAATGCCTGGCAATGATTCAAGGTTGGTTTTTATACAGAAGGAAAATAAGATCGTAACCGTTGTTTAGAGCCATTGGTGTATAAAGAGCTGCTGTATCAGTTCATGTTTCTTTGTTTTCAGATGCCAGCATGTATGCTCATTACCTCTTCAATGCATTTGACACTGCACAAAATGGCTCAGTGAAGTTTGAGGTAATTGGTTTGCATCTTCCTTCTACTCCACTTTCTCAGTTTTGTTGTTTTAAGCTTTTCTGTCCATTCTTCCTTGTAAAGTAGTAGGACTTGTTGGATTAAAGGTTAGAGGTTTCAGTCTAAAGTCAGTTGATGTTTTAAAATCTGGTTCAGTTTAGTTTATGCAGATGCTGTTATGTTTCTTCTCAGTCAAGAAACATCTCGATCATAGTAGTCAGGATCAGGAGAAAGCACAGAGGTTTATGTGGCACAGGAGAGTGGTTGAGGACAGTCCCATATGAAGAGAGATGAGGAGTACAGATAACTTGCAAATTGTACCTTCTGCAGGCATCATGCATTAAGTAATTGAATAGTTGTACCTCTATGTTCCTGGAATATGGTGTTTCTAAGCTTATTTGATGTGTTGAATAAGCATCTCAGGTACTTGGTATCTAATGGAAACTAAATGCACCCTTTAAGTAAAAGGCCTGTGGCTACAATAACTCTTCATGCTCACACCCATAGTTGTAGGAGTGCAGCAAAAGGATATGTTAAGTCATAGACTTCTGGTGGATGAACTTCATAGCCTTGAAGACATTTCACTGTGATTATAAAACTACAAATCATAGGCAGTCTTGCCTTTGCTGTCAAATGGCCAAGAACTCCAGTAATTTTCATATAAGATTGAGAAATGGGTTAATTCATTAAATGTAAAATGGGAATGTTTCCATATGTATCTGTGCGTCTCTGTAGAAAGGGCTGCAATACAAGGTTTGCATATGGCAGCTACTCAGTAGTTAAAGGTGTCCAGAAACCTAAACAAGATGAGAACAGAGAAATGCTGTTAAAAAAAAAAAACCTAAAAAAAACCCCTAGAAAATGCTGAGCTTTCCTTCCTGGCAGACCTGTCCATTTACTGGTTCTCAAACATAAGCATTTTGTCCCCTTTTTTATACTGTTCAACAAATTCAAATTCCTCTGAGCCTTGGCAAAAAGGAGCAGGGGGTTTTAAGCAGTGATTCACCAACTCATGCAGAGCTCATGGAGGTGACAAGGGAAGGACTAAGGATGTTAAATAAGTTATAATAACTATAGCTCAGTTAGCTTGAAGCTCTGCCTGTGCTAACAAACCCCTGTAGCAATGCTACTCATGGTGCCTGAGCCACCATGCAGGATAAATAATAAATCAAAGTTATTGGAAGCAATAACTTTACTGGAAACAAAAAAATGCAATTAAAATGCTGTGTTCCACACTGAATAATTAGTGACAGGAATCACATCTGGTCAAGTCTCACAGATTTTGCCAGAGAACAAAACCGAAGGCTCCCTTGTTAGAGGAGTTTAGGATCTCTCCATCTCTCAAGGTGAACATAGGGAAAATGCAGGATTTTCTCCCTACTTTGCCAGCACCTAGATCTGGAGGTAAGACAGCATCAGCTTCTACTTCCACAGGCACAGTCCAGCTGTGTTTAGCCAGGTAGCGGCAATTTGAGTGAGGACTCCTTGCAGCAGGGAGGAGAATGGCCACTGGAGCATCTGGCAGTGCTCTTAAAAACCAGATATCTTAGCAGATGCTTCATCCATTGAGTTCAGTCAGAGAGGACACATTTTCAGAAAAGGAAGCCAGAAGAGGTTGATAACCATGTGCTCCATCCTAAAAAGATAAATCTTTTGACTGGCATCATATAAAGAGGACTTAGAAAAGGATGTTATGAAAATTCACACCTCTCTCTGCTTCAAACCAGGATTTTGTGATGGCATTGTCTATTCTTCTACGTGGAACTGTTCATGAAAAGCTAAGATGGACATTTAATCTGTATGACATAAATAAGGATGGCTATATAAACAAGGAGGTAAGGCTGTTCCTGACAAATGTGGTTGATTTCAGAAGAGAAGCAACTCTTTTTTGTTGCAGAACACAATTTCACATGCAGGTAATTCAGGTAATTAAAAGCAAATCAGAATGCACTTGAGCATTTATCTGTGTCTAAGTAAAGTGCACAGAGACCTTATTGCATGATTTTCTAGACATATTTTCCTATATTATAGTGCTTTTAATGAATTACTTTAGCTAGGAGCAAAATCCTGGTTACAGCTATAAGCCACATAACCTTTGCAAAGAGGAGGGTGGCAGTGGCAATAACTAGTTGGTGACTGAGGCACGAGGGCTTTCTTTCTGCGCTGGAGGGTACAGTGTGGGTCACCTGAAGCACTAGAAGCCCCCAGCACCACTTCCAAATCCTGCATTGTCATATGTTTTTATCTTATCATTGCTTGTTCCCATTGTGGGAAGTCTTGGTTTTGAGCATGGTAACCTTGAATATGTTTCAAATACATCTTGGTCTACTCAAAACTGTCCTGGAGGGTTTGCAGTTACTGCCACTGGCCATGGAGCTGAGTGGCAATTTGTGCCAGCTGTGGAGAGGGACCAGGCTCCCAGTGCCAGCCGTGAGGGTCCCTGGGACAGGCTCAGGACAGAGCAAACCACTTGCTCCCAGCAGCTGCTGTGTCTGAGCACAGGCCCTGGGCTGGAGGAGCAGAGGGAGCACTGTGGGAGCCTTGGCACAGCTGGGGCAAAGGCAGGGCACAGGCAGGGAGAAGAAATTGCTTTAAATAGGATGAATTTGTATGTCATGCTACATCTGTCTTCATGCACGTGTACAGGCATTCTATGTGCTGTTTTGTAATAGGAGAAGGAGGGTGAAGAAAAGGGCAGTACAAGACAGAAATGTGTTATCATTTCCCTTAATTTCCTTTTTGTGTTTGTGCTGGCATGCTCCTATGGCAGGAAATGATGGATATCGTAAAGGCAATTTATGATATGATGGGAAAGTACACATATCCAGTGCTCAAGGAAGATGCACCAAGGCAGCATGTAGAAGTGTTTTTCCAGGTACCTGGTTTTTTGTGTGTTTTTCTTAACACTTGAGCTATGCACTGATAGACCTTACAGGAAAGTTGTGTCTGTGCCTCACTATATATTCCAAAATAAACCCTAGCAACCATTCAGCCCAACACTACAGTGTCTGCTGATTTCCTGGCTCCAGGGGTATCTGACTTGTCTCTTAGCCTGACCCTTTGCACTGGGATGTGCCACATGCAGTAAGTCTGAAGCCTCTGCCATGTGTTGCAGCCCTTCTGTGCTGCTTCTCTCAACTGCCCTAATGACAACAGGAATGTGGGTGGGGGTTGGTGAAGCAGTGAATAAATAACCAATGGAATAAGTGCAGAGATTGTGGTGTATGTCAAGGAAATAGTTGGAAATAACCTCAAAAGTGCTCCAAATCCCAGAGTCCTTAGCAATCTGGCAATGACATTGAGTCTGTGATCTAAGCTTATCAAGTGCCCAGCTTTATTCAGGTTGCATCAACTAAGATATTATACTGTAACAACAGTGTTGCCAATAAAAACTAATTTTTTTATTTTATTTTTCAGAAAATGGATAAAAACAAAGATGGAGTTGTAACTTTAGATGAGTTTATTGAATCGTGTCAGGAGGTAAGGACTAAATTATAACTGCAAGGAAAGGTCTAGCTCATGCCACATCATATGCTTCCCTTTGGACAAACTCTGTATGAAATACAATGCTGCTCAGGATTCTGGGGTTTTTTTGCTCTGTGAAAAAAAAAAAAACAAACAAACCAACAAACCAACAAAAAAATAGCTTCAAGACTGAGTTTCTGGTGATGCTCTGTTAAGCCCGTGACTGAATAGTGGGATAGTGAGTGCCTGAGCCTGTAGACAAGCGCTAGAGAAGTTGTAGACAACTCTAGAGAAAGCTCATAACTGCCTTGGGTGGGGTTTTTTGGTGGTTGGTTGGGTTGGGTTTTTTGGGTTTTTTGGTTGGTTGGTTGGGATTTTGGGGGGGTTTTGGTTGGTTAGTTGGTTTTTAATTTCATTTTAAAAGTATGATACTGTCTCTGTGTGCTACCCCAAATGTCTTTATCAGGTACCACAGTGCTGTAACTGCCCAGAGACAAAGGTGTCTCAAAATCTTGCAATTACAGCACTAAGTTATAAAGCCAGTTGATGTTTCTATGATCAAACATTAAAAGCAAATGCTGTCATCATAGCAATGATTTTTATTTTATTTTCTCTTTTGGAAATCATGTCCCTCTTGCAAATTTCCTGTGTTAGGATGGCTGTGATAAATGTTTAATGGTATTTTTAGCACTGGCATAAAGAAGCATCTGCATTAACATGCCTGATGTCTGTTGTCTTAGACATCAGTTAAGTGTGTGAATGTTTGCTCAGAGATATCTCTAATACTTGACCAGTACAATAATGGTCTAAAAGGCAATCTCTGCCTTTTGTAATGTTTACATTAGTGCAAATAATTGCATAATGGCCCTTCTGTGTATTTTACTTTCCCTGGAAAATTCTTTCCAGTTCTGCAGCCAGACAACTCTTCTGCCCCTGAGCAAGGGGAAGATGATCACTCTGGAGGGCTGGGCTGGCTTGCTGTTGGTTCTGTGTCAAGCCTGGCTCTGGCCATATCCAGATTACCTCTCAGTCAGGGACTTCAGACAGCAAAATCCTTGTTAGCAGAAGCATAATAGAAAACTAATGTTTTTCAGTTACTTCATTCTTGGTCCCTCCTGGTTGGCTAATTTTTGGCACCATCTTTACTTTGATCATTTGTGTAGTGTATTATTCTTCACATTCATCATTTGACTGTAGGTATGTCTATGATTAGTGGTCTCAGAACTGAAGCAGCTTTACTTCACTTATAACTGTTAGAGTTTTAATTCTTTGCCCTAGTTTGAGTTTGATTCCTTCTGTTCCCATCCTTGCACTAGGAGCTGGGCAGATTGATGCACTGGCAGGTGTGGTTTCCTGGTGGGCAGGACTTATTTATTTATTTTATTACCTTTATGAAAAACCAACGTAAGTGCACTACAGTGCTTACTTGTGCCATTGCAGAAGCTCTGGCTCGTGGGCAGGAAACTCCTGGCATTGCCTTGGAGAGGATGATTGGTATCCACCAAACTGGGTTAGAAGGGACATAGCTAATGCTGCCTCAAAATATGATTGAGGAATGCAGTGCAATAGATCTCTTAAGTTGCTCAATGTGGAAAACTAATTTCATGTTACAGGCAAACAGCTATTCTAACTTTTGGAATAACTGAATTCCTGGGAGGAAAAAAATCATCATGTTTTTGTATACTACTCTGGTTATTACCTTGAAGTACAATTTCAGAATTTCAAGAGAAATAATCTAGGGTTTCCCATGTGTCTGTAACTTTCTCATTTGGCTCTAGGAACCTTGGAGAGGCTGAGATTACACAAATTGCATGTGTTTTGGTTTTGAGCTGGTTGTATTGTATTTCTGAGATGAAGTGCTCCCTCAAGGCAGCTTTCTTATTTGTTCAAAATGTGCCATTTCAGTTGGACTTGTGGAGCATTATTAGCCAAGCGCCCGTTTGCACACCCAGGATCAGTGGCATCCAAGGGTTTAGCACAGCCACAGCCTGTGCTTGCCTGCCCCACACCAACCCAGGGCTAAAGTAAGAGACAACTTCTGAGCTGAATCAGGGCCTGGGCACTGAATCAATCCCAGCTCATGGAGGGGGTAAAGCATTACCAGAGCAAGGCTGTTTCCTGCAGGAGCAGCTGCAGAGCTTCCCTGTGCCAGACAGAGTTATGAATTGTGCTTTACTGTGCTGGTTTCATGGAAGTATCTTTTCCTTGCTTTCAGGACGACAATATCATGCGATCGTTACAGCTCTTTGAGAATGTCATGTAACCACGTAACCAGCGATGGAGGAGTCCGAGACTTCCTGTGTAACAAAGATCTCCTTTCTGGGTGAAAGCTTTTTACAACTGAGCCATGTCCAGTGCGTGAGGATTTTGTATGACATCTCCAGCCAAATGGCAACTGAATGCAACCGATCCCACCTCTTCTCCCCAGGAGACGCCGGTGGCCCTTTGTTTCATTTTGGAAGCATGTGAATATTTTAATAAACCCTGACAAGAGAGAACTGCTGCTCGAAGTTCAATGAGTAATATAGAGCATTGTTTGCTAGGCACAAGTCCTGCTTTTAATCTAGCAAGCTTAATTACCTATGATAGCATATGTCAATAATTATTCGGCCATCTATTGCCAGTGACAGCTCAGTCTATGCTACCATATGGCACAATATTTGATGAATGCCTTGCCGTTTATCTGCTTTGACAAAAGTCACATCTACCAGGGCAGTCTGTGAAAAATGAACAGTCAATGTACCTGGGACATTGAGCATACAGGCTATGTAACCAGTATCCCATTTCTGCAGAGATTCCACTTCTCACATGCACTGGTGCCACCATGCTGAGTTTGGTGGAGTTCTTCCTGAACACACGAACCAGGGGATCTTCATGCCAGGGTGAGCCAGAAAGGAGCAAAACATGTTGCACATATAAAAAACAAACTACAGAACAAATCCTGTTCAATGATGGTAAGTTCCTGAAAGACCAGGCAGGTTTGTAAGGGCTGGTACAGAAAGATGATTACCTGCTCCGATCCCAGCCACCTGTTGCAGTCGCAGCATGTAGTGGGACACCAGGTGATTCCCCACTGTGCATCTCAGAAGCACTGTGGGCATGTGCTGTGGTCCTTTTGCTGTAGTTTGGCACACACTTCCTAAGTTCATCATTTGAATGTTTATATTTTTCCATTGGACATGACAGTAAGTTCTTGCCCCCTTTATGGACTTATTTACTTAGTGAAGAACAAGGCCCAGAAGATGCAGCTGTGTTTCCACATACAGACCTTGGCATCCACAAATTGCCCTGTACATTTGATTGAGAGCTAATGAGTTGTTGTTAGCCTCAGAATCACATGCCAAGGTTGGATTTTGCCCAGTAGATGATTTGTCAGCTGGGGAACGTGTCAGAACCTTCTCTGCAGAAGCCTCTTAGGAAAGCTGACACACTATAGTGCCATTGCCATCTCCAGGTAGGTAATGGCTGAGAAACCAAGGCAAGGAGGGAACAGACAACTTTTCCAGCTGCTCAAACCACATAGACAGGACAGTCCCTGCCATAGTGCTGCATTGCTCCCATTCAGTAAGCATATATTTTTATTGTATCAGATGCTATATTACAAATAAACTGTTAGCAGTGAAGATATATTTTAAAAATTATGTAAGTGTAAGCTTTTTATAATACAGAATATATAGAATGCCTCAATTCTGTAGCCCTAATTTTATAAAAATTTTGTCTATTGAAGCATTCCTGATTATAGAAGTAGGTCTGATCAGTCCTAGTGTAATGAATGATATGCTGATTGCCCAAGATGGGGCATTTTCACATTTTACTGTGCTCCTCCATACACTTCAGTGTAGTCTTAATTTTATTTCTCTAAGCTGTCCCCTTGTCATAAAAAGTGCTACTCGAGTGAAGTTGCATGTCTGCAGGAATGATACCCTAGTCTGTCTTGTTTATTGCCTTTCATACAAGCACCATTAATTCCTTCCCAGAGCACAGCAGCTCCCATGAGGGGCTGTATTCGCAGGAGGGATGTCATGCTGTGAGAGTAGCTTGTCCTCCAGTTGTTGGGTACTGTCCATTTAGGTTTTATGTAACAGACACTTGATAAAGTCATCAGTTGTAGCTGAAACAATACACAGCTTACAGTGTTATTTCTTGATTCTTCTTGCAATCACTTTAGCAAATGACAGAATTAAATATAATTAATTACCTGCTTTTCCCTTCCACCAAAACAACATCTGTCTGTTATCAGTCTAAGCAGTTAAACTGCAAAGGAGGGAGGAGTGGTCAGGACAATGGAAAAGATGAATTTGCATCAGGCTAGCACAGTGCCTTTCTCCTCTAACAGTCTTGCTCCCAATGGGATAATGAGATGGCACATACAGACAGAAACGTTCGGAATGTACCCTTTTCAAAAGAAAATGTTATTAGTTGCATGATGCCATAGCCCCTGAAGCTAAATTAATTTCTGGAGTTACTGTGATGAATTTGGCCTCAGCTGGTTCCTGTCCCCGCTGGCAGTAGTGCTGTGCAGGGCCTGCCTGTGCTGTCACCCTGTGTTGAGTGGAGCCCCAGTTTGACACCACACTCCCCACAGCTGGTGTCCCTGACAGTACCGGCTGAAGTGCATTGCTCTGTGGGTACCAGTACTGACTCTGCAGTTCTGGCATCTCCTTTGCTGCTGTGCCAGCTTTCCACTCCCAGGAATGATGAGGGTGCATCAGGGAGATGCTGACAGCCACACTGAGTCTGCCCTTGAGGCATAAAGAACTTCAGTTTGGGTCTCACAGGAGTCAGACACCTCCCAGGCATCCCTGATGTTCAGCCCTGAGTTGAGCTCTGTGTTCCACCTGAAGCCCTATGGTAGCTGAGACAGGAGGATTGGCAAAGTGGCACCCATAGTTGTATTTTCCTGTAGCTCAGATTGCAGATTCTGTCTGTGGCAGAGTTCTTGCCACTGCAAAACCAATTATTGCCCTATGTTTGTCCCTGATCCCACTGCTACAGCCAGAGGCTGGGATGCACCAGTGTGCAGATGTGCTCCAGCCAACAGGTGACAGAGATCCAGTGACTGTGAGAGAGTCGTGCTCTGCATGGAAATGGCTTTGGGTTTGTTTTTTTATGTTTTCTCATGAATGTTACTCTGTAAACTTGCCAAGCCTCCCCTTGCTCAGAAATGAGGCTTGTAATATTTATGACAAATATGACTACAGCTTTCTAAATAAAACACAGTATGCTATTCCAATCCCTACCCTCATCAATCCTCCGGCCAGTACATGGAAGGCAGTTCCTGTGCTGCTTCTCAGCTACAGTCAGACTATGTCAGTGCTATCAACTGTGCTCATTTCCTCCAAGTGGTGAATGTTTAAATAACGTCTGAATCAGGACTCTGACTGTGTCATTAGTTACAAACGTTAGTCTGCATCTTCATGCCAGCATTTTTTTAAAGAAAGCCTTTCTAACATGCATTTTATGCAACATGTTGAAAAATAGGAATGTGATTAATGATAATGAAAAAAAAAAAGAAAAAAGAATGTACCGTGCCTGTTCTGTGGCTGTTTGGCTGTTTGTTTTCCTGTTCTTTTGAATGCATTGCAATGTTGTGAGTAACCATGAGCCAAGCTGTAAGCCCGAGGCACAGATACCCTGAGGTTAGGGCACCATGGGCAGGACTTTGGCATTGCCTGACTGCAACATGTGTTGAGAACAAACACCCACATGTCTGTTGGTGACCTCTGGTGAGATGATAGCAGCAGTGTATCAACCTTTTCTTCTTATTCATGGAAGTGCCATGAAAGACCTAAGGAAATGTGCAAATAATGTAAATTGTGATAACTAAAGCCATGTTAATGGAGCAGCCATGTAAAGCTTCACTCTTACAAATGCTATTCTCCGATGGTAATTTGTATTCAATTTTGTTTTATGGTTTAAAAAATGTTGGTTTTAATAATAAAAAGAAGATATCTCTAGGAGGGTGTCCTTTCTTAAGCCCAATATGTATTTTTCCTTAAGGGACACTGTCAGGTTAAAAATTTGCAAAGAAACTTTTAAAAGTAGGACACATATCTATATGCATAGGGGCTGTGAATCTGAACTGTGCTGTAAGTGTAGCACTTACATGCCAATGATTTATCTGCATCATTGATTCAGGCGTGCTCTTATATTTGGTATGGCAACATACACTGAACTGATAGTCTGACCCTTGTGTAAATAAGAATTCAGAAATGTTCTTCCACCTGCATCACTGATAGTATTTTGGAGTAGTATAAATGGAAAGCTTACAGGCATGTCTCTTCAGCAGTTTTGCTTAAGTATAAGCAGGAAAACAGGCAATTGAGTTGAGAAAAAATGCAAACACTATTTTATGTTAGAGATAAGAAAAATAACCCAAAACCTAGCAGTGTCCCTTTAGCTCTAGTTTGTTGTAAACACCCATTCTGACACGTGGACAAATGCAGGAGTGATTTTGCGAGACTATATATATGTGTGTACATACATATAAAGTTTGCTAAACTCCGTTCTGCAGGGTATAATCTGTCTACCAGTACATCCCAGGAAAAAGAACATTCATACATGCAGAAATGTGAAAATAAAGGTGTCTGTGTGAAACGTGTATTGGTCTCAGTGCAGTGCCTGCACAGGGGCATTGCCCAGCCAGCCCTTGGCCACGCAGAGCCCTGGGAGGCACCCAGGGACGGCACCCCTGCCACCAAGGCACCGCCTGCTCCAAGAGACAGTAGGGCCCCTGCAGAATGCCAGCCCCAGCTTCTCAGTGTCCCTGCAAGGAGAAGGTGCGGGCACTGTCTGTTCAACACCCCTCTCTCCATGGGATGTGCCCCCGGCTGTTGCCAGGCAGAGCAGGGTCAGACTCAAAGCACATGCAGAGGCTTTTGGTTCACTTCTCAGCTGCAGGTTTGCTCAAGTGGCTGTCAAAGCCTTCATCACTGCTGTGAGATTCTGGACACCTCTGGTTTTCTTCTGAGTCCATCACTATTGCAGACTGAGCATCTCATCCTGCTGCTTCAGGGGTCCAGGGCATTGCACCTGATGGACTGAAGGGCAGTGGGGAGGGAGCACGTCTGCACTCCCTGGGGGACTCCAGAGTGCAGAGGGGGAAACTGAGGCATGAGCTACAACTCAGCAAATGAAAAAGGTTACTTTTGGATTCAAAACTAGCTTTCTCTTACTGAGAGATTAATTCTGTAACCGCTGCTTATCCATGCAGGTCCAGCAAAGCTGGAAAGGGAGAAGGCCCAGACACGCTGTCAACATGATATTCGACTTCTCTGCTCAAGCAGAAGTTACCAACTACCCTGTTCTGGCATTTGGGGCCAGACTTGTGTCTGAGATGGAGAAACATGGAGAAATCATGCAGCATGCTGGGGAAAGTAAGGCTTGTATCCTGATAGAGTAGGATGTGACTGGAAGCACTGGGGGATAACTACTGATCTGCAACTTAGATTTAATTTGATGAATTGTTATCATCTCTAAAGCCAAATATCTGGGGTCAATTCTGAGAGGTCCAAGCCCAAGAAGAGCTGATCATTCCTGCTGAGAGGAGGGCAGCTTGCTAACTTTCTTTCTTCCCTCCTGCATTACCCCCTCAGCTGCAGCCCACCTGAAACCACAGCATGTACCCCTCAATTCAGTGCTCAGGGCTGTTTAAACTTCTTTGTCTTTGTAAAGCAAACTGGTGACAGGCAATAGAGTGGCAGCAGACTAGTACAGAGGTCAGGAACAAGGCCATGGTGTGAGGTGACTTGTAGCTATGACAGGAATACATAAGACAGTTTTCATATATAATTGTTATGAAAAATAAATGGAAATGTTCATACAGATTTGAAGACACTACTGCCAATTGCCTGTGCGACACTAATCAAAGGTTAAAGAAAGCATAATCAAAATGCAGTTAAAGTAAAAACAAATGCACAAGGTATCTGTAGTAGCAATATTAAATTCTCTATCTAATTCAATAATCAAACTACCATGTGAGTTTGTCAACCTCAACAAGCCAGTCAAGGATAGATATCCCTTTATAAGCTACCCAGGTGAGAAGCACACTGAAATCAGGTGTCAGCTGAAGCCCCGTATTTGCTTGTCTCCAGCTAAGGTGATGCAGACTTATGTGTTCAGGTGATGATCACCCCAGCCTGCCCAGCACAGGTAAACACATACAGGTTTCCAGTGGTAGTTTCTCTCTTTGAATTCTGTCCCAAAGATGTGCATCTTGCAGGTCAGGAGTTAGAGTTGGGGTGATTTAGATGGAGAGGATCAGGCACTGTCACCTCCCCATGGCACTGTCCTGTTCTGATACACCAATTGCTCTCTAAATTGTCAGCTACATTTTCAGCTGCTGAAATAAATCAGCTGGGGGATGGCTTTCAAATATTTAAAAAAAAAATATTAAGGTAAATATGTTTCTACATAAGATCTGGATCCTTCACCTGCATTCACCTTTACCAAACCCGGGTGTATCATATCTGTGTATATGTGTACTACACTGATTTGGAAAAAAAGAAGAATCAAATAGAACTGAGCAGCCTCTTGTTTGCTCTAAATTATACTGATTTTTTTTTTCAATATCGCCATAATAATTTTTAATACTGCTTGTATATTGTCATAGCATAGACTCTGGTGTCAGGTTAACTAACAGGAGCTGTCCCAGAAATGATTCTTACTCCTCTCAGAACATGCTGCGTGCCATGTAAGTGGCACTTAGCTCATGCACTGACATTCAGCCAGGAGAACAGAACAGGTTTGTTTCAGGAAAAATCCATTACCCTCATCATAACTTACAGCACCTGTTTAACTAACTTGTTTAGGCAGCTGATAAATAGCTGTCTGGATTTCAGGAGACAGGGTCTGGGGGAGTTGCATGGACAGAGGTGTGTGCTGCTTGATGGGCTTGGGGAGAACACTGGATGTCAACAAGATCCCTCCTCGCACAGCAGGACTGGACAATGGGGCAGACAGATCCCAACCTGGTAACTTTTTGTTGTCTGTGGGGCAGATACCAGGTATCACACAGCACTACCTTAACCACTGTCACACTTGAACACCTTTACAGTTGGCTTTGAGAACTAGTTGAAAAAATCAGGTCCATGTAATACTTTTATAAAAATAATCATTAAAAATGTGCCTAAAAATGTATCTAAGAGGTGAACTTCGAAGAACAAAATCTAAAGAAAATCAATTATTTCTAATTCACAGACAGAGAACTGAAGCAAAATTTTGTGACTTTTTGTCACATCAGGTTTGCACTGTGTGGGATCAGGAATGGGAGCTGCATGAGCAAAGCAGAGAAAGGAGAGCTGGCGATGGACCCGCCCTGCTGCTTGGTCAGGAGAGGCTGGTTCTCTGCAAACAGGACACCTGACTCCCTCACCCTCCAGGAGGTGGGAAATGAACTGAAGATCTCAAGAGCCTCAATGGATGTGGTTATTTCCAGCCTGGTTTTTTTGAACTTTCCTTTTTGTCTTGCAAAACAGAAGTATGACTCTGTCCATCTGTTCTTGTAGGGACTGGGAATCACTGGGGGGCTCTGGCTGGAAGCCCACATGGCAGGAAGGTGCCTCCTGGCAGCACAAGGGCAGTTGTCATATTGACTGTGACATTCCCCTGGGGATTCACCTGCTGTCCTGTCCCTGGGGCTGCATCTGGCCAGCACACAGCAGCCAGGGCCAAGGGGGTACCAGGGTGATCTGCACTCCTCCTTCAGGACAGGGGCTTCTGCAAGAGGTGAGCAGAGCACAGTGGGGAAATGGGGATGTTTCCTTTAGAAACCTGGGACACTTCAAAACTTACTTGTTGGGACTTGCACCCACATCCAGTGGCCATGAAATGGAGAACAGAAACAGGGCTGCAGGAACAGGAACACTGCCATGTTTCACTCGCAGGAATCAGCTCTGGGCTCAAGTCTGGCTGCAGAAGATAGGCCTGGATGGTTACTGCCCTCACCCAGATGTGAGAATGAGCTTGAGCACTCACAGACCCTGTGACCTTCCTTCCAGGCACCACAGGTTTTCTCAGGACTGTGTTCCCACTGTCTCCAAACCCAGGCCCCAGCTCAGACCCCTCTGCCTGTGACTGAAGGGGCACACAAGTGATAAAGCCCCATTGCCACTGCCCCAGTGTTTTAGAGTCTGCATTTGCTCTTTATATTTGCAGAGAGAGCCAAGGAGCACGTACACTGATGTTGGGAAGGATGGAGGTGAAAGCACCACTGCTAGTAATGTACACTCATATCCTTTGTTAAAATGTCTGTGGAAAGCTAGTGCTGATCCAGAACTTTCTAAAGGGTAGTAAGTTATTGGAAAGTGTTGATTTAAAAAAAAAATCAAAGATTGATTTTGGAATCACAGGGTTAAATTGACTTTGTTGACATCTTCACTAAAACTTATCCAACCTTTGTGTTCTAATCATCTTATTACTTATAAATCGATATAAATTGAAAATATACAAAAGTGTAAATATACAAGAAGAAAAATGTCTGCAAAATGTTTTCTGTCTGAACAGATATTCTAAATTTTAGAGAACTCAG